TTGTGGCACCGCCGACTGTCCATGCAAGGGTCATACCACACTTTGAAGACCATCATCAAATATACCGTATCGTTGAATTGTTAATTATATATGATAATTTGAGAGATGAAGACATCCGAAAGGTGAAAGAGAGTTATCAGATCCTCGAGAAAAGACTTCGAGCTATGGAGAGAGATCAAGTTTTTGGTGCTGCTACCAAAGAAAAGTGTCTAGTATCTGGTTTGGTAATTCCTTAAATGTTCAAAACACCATATTTTGACAAATATAAGGGTCATATTTGCCCAAAGAGTCATATCATAATGTATTATTGCAAGATGGTCGTCCATGTTGAAGATGACAAACTGATGATACATTGTTTCCAAGACAGTATGAGTGGCGCATCTTCTAAGTGGTATTTGAGCCTCGACCAGAGCAGAATAAAGTGTTTCCAAGACCTATCTGACGCATTCACCAAGCACTTGTAGTGGTTAAACAGGATTGCAAAGGTGAGTATGAATAAACATATTGTTTCAACAGTGCCGAGTATGTACTTTGCAAATATATAATAAAAATATAGAGATATAAGTTGTATTGCATGATTGTGATGTGATTGTAAATAGACAATTGCTTAAAAATATTGTTAAACAATACATGGGAAAGTGGCGTGGGTATGGACCAAAACCACAGAAGCAGATGGTTTGATGTCTTGATAATCACATGATATTTTATCATTTTATGCCACAACAGGCTATTTTCTAGTCTGCATGTGATGATGAGTAATTAGTTACATCAGAAATTGGAACCGAACTAAACATGAATTAAAGCAAAGTCTTTTATTAAGTGAAATAAGCTATTTCGAATTACTAGAATTTCAATACATTACTTGAGAAACTTTTACAACATTACTATTATACACGTTACAAAATGTAAAACGAATAATATCTCCATTGTTAAATCCATTAAATTTTCGAAATTCCATCCATCCCTGACCCAATTTGAAAAAAAATGAGGGCCCCCATCTTGATAATCAATCCAACATATAACAGGTTGGTTGGAAGGTCCCACCAAAATTAGAGTGGTGTATTCATGGTCTACAATAATCTTCAATAATGGTCTATCCAATTTCTGTAATTACACAATGGTATCAGTTGTGAATATAAAATAGGTTGAATTACTATAAAGGGAAATCCATAACTATTGAATATTTACCAGGGTTCAGATACCGTTTCTGTTTGTATGTCCAGAAAGAACAATTTCAAATGAAAGTTTAGTTGGATTTGATGGTGCCAAAGTGTGCCAATAAGGAAAATTAGAATCACATCCTTTATGGTCTAGATCCGAAACCCACAAAAATAATCCATTCCCAAAATATTGTAGATGAATAATATTAAAGTTGATTAGAAAATCTACACACTGAAGTAGCTCAGTTCATCCTTGAGTAAATAGTGGATCCGTAAAATCTCGATTGCATCGAACGTGAAATTCATACAACCTGTCATACAACTTACACAATGTAGGTAGTTCGTGACCAACTTTATGGACAAATAAAGGATCAATTTCCATATATGGTTGTATGAATGATATAAAATGATATATAAGTATGATGTGGTAGAATTTGTGGAATAACTTGTGATTTAATAAATAGGAAAAATGAATACATTAAATCAAACAAAATAAAAAATATAACAGAATATGCTCTTACAACTATTAGAATTGCAAGAGAATTAAAGGATTTAATAACATATAGGTCACCTAGTAAATATCAAAGTGAACCTTCAAATAACTTAGCCATACGAAAGCGGAGTAGGCTGCCAGTGTATATCTCGAAAAGATGATTGTGAGTAAGTGAACTTGGTATGACGTTATTATATAGGCAAAGGAAAAGTGTACAGGCCTAAATAAATGGGCCATATGTTGGAGAATCACTGTATTAATATGCAAGAGTATGTATAATACATAGTAAGGGTAAAAAACCAAGAATTTTGAACAATATTCCAAGTAACCAAACTAAGACATTAAAAAAAGTTAGTGGTTCAACCATAAAACAAATAACAATTACAATAAGATATGAAAAACAACAGCGTGGTGATATCCATACAACATTGATTATAACAGTCAAATAGGAAAACACAAAAGAGATGCAAAATCACATCTACGATTTCTCCATTTTTATCAGCTTGTTAACTTTGGTTGATGAGTGTTCACCATCAGCCAGGTTGATGACCGTAGTGGATTTACTTGTTCCATTAGGATTTGGTCTCTTTGTCGTCGGTGTTACAGGATCAGGGTTGGGTTTTGATGTAATTTTGAGTTCCTGCAATATTTTTCAGGCACATGTATCAGATGCATGGGATACAACGTATAAGAAAATAAAAATACATGTGGTAGTATTAGTTGTTGACATACATTAATTACTTCAAAATCATCAATAGCATTAGCTTCGTCGACACTCTCTTTGATCTAACAACACATACAACCAATGTCAATAAAGCCAAACATCATTGACACGTAACATATAATAACAATACAATAATCAACATCGCATATATTTCAGATATACCTGCAAAATAGGTGTGGGTGGGATATCAATCATACGCACGCTATCCCTTTCCCATGGAGCTTTTAGTTGTTGTATCATGACAATGTCTTAAAATATAGAGACAACAAAATAACTCTCCCGCCGAGGTTGCCACTTGACCTTCCAAGCAATTTCACCAACAAGTGCTAGGGGATACTCAAGTGGATAACTTATCCCATCACAAACAATGGTGTTAAGTGGTTAACATGACTAATAGGAATGACTTTCATCAAAACTTGATTAAAAATAACATCAGTATCTAACCTCAATCATTGTGCTGCGCATTTGAGCAGCAGATAGACCCAATAATTGTTCACTTTCACGGTCCCATAATACAAACCTGCAACGACTTCCGCATAGAACCACATCTACTTGTATTTTGTACCTAGTGAATGGTAAAAACATGAAAGTATTAATGAAAGTCATGTATATAGGGGAGAATACTATATGCTTATTAACTTTTGGAAAAAGATATAACATAAAAATTTCAGCTTCTCATTTAAAAGGAGGTTTGTCTCCCCTAGTTACTTTAGGACATTGATGACATGCCCGATAATACCATTTTTATTGTGATGCAATGAGCTTATCAATTATTGCAATTGTAAACAGAAAGTTATTTGCAAAGCAGGCACGATGTGAGAGTTAAACATAAGAATATATTTTGGCAGTCATAGAAAAAATATGTCAGGAAGAGGTGAAAAAGTCATTAATAAAAATCAACACTGCACTAAGTTGCTTAATTTCACTGATATGAAGATCAACAACTTTTAACATGAACTTCTGGTAAGGAGTAAGTTGAGAGCCAGATGAATTATATGACCACACCTGAGATTGGGAACTTAATTGGCTGGACCGGTTCACCGGCGTGTCATTAGGGATGTTAACAAAATAAATCAATCAAAACATTTTATAGGATTTGGTGAAATGTATGTAATGAAAAGAAAACAAAATGTAGTTTTCAAGAATCAGACCTTTGAATGAAGTCATTGATTGACCCGATATCATCGTTGATGTACAATTTTATAACATTGCAAGTGTTAGAAACGAAAAGAGGATACTTTATATGGACAATAAAGATTGTATGTGTATTAGACCATTAAAAAGAAAATACAAAAATAAGCATACTACAATATATAAAAGCGAAGAATGGCAAACCTTCCTCTTTGACTATGGCGTATTGGAGTAAGATGATAGTTGGCAAGGCAAAATCAAAAGATTTGGTTATATAGATGAACAAAAGTTGAAAGTTGAGAGAATAACAAAAGTTGCAAAACCTAAAAAAAAAAAGAAGAGATAAAAGGATTTGGTCTGTAGAGAAGCTACATGAAGAAGAAAGATTATGACATGATGTTCGCCTTTTGAATATATAGTAAGTATGAAGTGATGTTTTAGTTAAAAAAATTTAAATTCAACGCAGATGGTGTTGTAGCGGAACAAATGCAATGCATAGTTGGTTCCACATGAACTAAAATACCAACTTCAGACATTTTACCGATATATCCTCCAAACAGTAACTTTAGACCAATAAAAAAAATAAAAAATACTATTTTTACACTAAAAAATGACACTACATCTAATTCACTATTCACAAATACGTGAACAATGTTTTTATATTATTTTGACTTTGTAATATATTTTTCTTTAAAAATAGTTTGGTTAGTAAAATATTAAAACTTGCTTAATACAATTCAATGTTTGGTTTATATATATATATCGTTCAAATTTTTATTAATTTTATGTATATATTTATAATTTAGTCCCAGAACATGGTTAATAGTATCCATTTTATTGGTTAATGAAGTAGTGAAAGTGGTTAATGAATTAAATATAAAAATAATTTGTTAATGATAGAGAGATTTTTGTAGTTAATACAATTGTAAAGTTGGTTAATGACTAAATCTTATATTTGTGTTATAAAATAAATTTTAAAAATGAATATATGTATTTTTTAAAAATTATATTTCAAAATTATATTATTTTAATAAAAAATATTGTTTATATATATTATAAGGTGTGTGGTGTAAAAAATGGTATGAAAGTATCTGTAAAAAAAAAAAAGAAAAAAGAAAAAAAGGTTAATATAGTATTTTCTAGAGCATACACTTATATATATATAAAATAATTTTTTCTTGCTTTGATTTTTGTGTCACATTTAAAATATTTTGAAAAAATTACGGTAGGAGTTATTCATTGGCGTCGTAGCACACCACTTATAATTTAATACAAAGTCCCCTTATTTTGTTGGTCATGTTTTAATTGTTTGTTTTACTTTCCTTGATTAAAAAAAAAAAAAAAATATAACAAAGATCCCAGTCACATTATTACAACTCTCCCTCTATATCGCTGATTAAACCCTCACTTTTGCACGCTCCCAACCATTTCAAGTTCGTTCACTGCTCTCTCTCTCTCTCTCTCTCTCTCTCTCTCTCTCTCTCTTTTTCTGATGGCGACAGCGCGTGAAGAGAACCGTTACGAAGGCGGTGGAGGCTATGGCAAGTTCCGAAAAAGACCTCTCCGGAAATCACAACCAACGCCGTACGATCGGCCGCCGACAGCCCTCAGAAACCCTAACCAAAACAACGGCTGGCTCTCGAAGCTCATTGATCCCGCTCAGAGGTTCATCACTTATAGCGCTCACAAACTCTTCTCCTCCGTTTTCCGCAAACGCCTTCCTCCGCCACCTCCTTCAGGTTTCTCTTTGCTCCTTTATGTATTTTTGAAATATATAAATCATTAATTTATCCAATTGATTGAGAGTATTTAAGGCGGTGTTAATTGTCTGTTTTGCTGTTAGGTTATTGTTATGATTTTGTTAACTAATTGAATTTTAGTTCATGAATTGTTGAATGTTAGTTTCTGAATCTGAATTGTTTGAGATTTTGTGTTGTGGTGCTTACCAACTCGAAATTCATTGCATTATATTTCTGCATATTTTCCTGGTAGTGCTTGAGGGTACTGTAAATGTAACTGCATTGTTAAATTTAACTTGATGTGTTGGTTAGGTTAATTGACGAGGATGCTAGGCCTTTATCTTTTTTATTTGGAATGTTAGGATTGAGCACGAGATATGAGTTTGTCTATTGTCTATAAGAAAGGGTTGCTTTTGCAAGAGAAGTGCGTGTGCAGTTATCAAACTGGACTGTATCACTGAACACACTTCAATTGGATTCAGCTTGTAGGTTTAATGTCACGATCTGAATGGTTTAGATGTAGAGAACATGATAAGAATAGTATAATTTGTACACTTGAATCAGTGTGAATGAAAATGGGGAACATTGGCTCTGCGTGTGCGGTTATCAAACTGGACTGCATCACTGAACACACTTCTATTGGATTCAGCTTGTGGGTTTAATAACGCGATCTGAATGGTGTAGATCTAGAGAACATGATAAGAATAGTATAATTTGTACATTTCAATCAGTGTGGATGAAAATGGGAAGCAATGGCTTTGTGTGTGCGGTTATCAAGCTGGACTGTATCACTGAACACACTTCAATTGGATTCAGCTTGTAGGTTTAATAACACAATCTGAATGTTTAGATGTAGAGAACATGAAAAGAATAGTATAATTTGTACACTTGAATCAGTGTGAATGAAAATGAGGAGCAATGGCTTGGCTATGAAAATTTTCTGTGAGCTCTATTTGGTCCTTATATATTTTTATAAATTGTCATATATATGCTTAGTAACTTGTTAGTTGTAACTTCTCTGTGATTTTTCAGTTTTTTCTTCCTATTTTCTTTGTTCGTGATACTTCTCAATATTGAAGCAATCACTTGATTCTATGTTTATCCTTTGTGATTTTTTTTGGCACAGAAACAGTACAAGAAGCAAGTGACAAACGCCAGAAAGCAGCTACCTTTGTAAGTATGCTTGCTTCTGATATATATTTATCGTTTGCTTTTCTTTAGGAGTCATTCCACAGACGTGCTTGGCTTATATTCCATTCTATATTAGATTGTGTGTTATTGTGTGTTTTCATAAAAAATACTAATAATATTTTGGTGACCCCTTTGTTTAATCACAGTTTAATGAAATTCGTAATTTATGCATCTTGTTAGTCCGTGTATTTTTCAACTTTATTCTCTCATATGTGATTTTATCTTGTTAGTTAAGGACTCTAATAATTTGTCAATGCCATGAGTTCTTGTGGCATGTTCAACAACCGATGTTGATTGCATGTACTTCTACATTGAGTAGAAATCCGTGCTTAGGATTAGTGGACATTACATTATTTATAGTAGGTTTGTTAGATTTCTCCTGAAAAAGACTGCTTAAAACTGTGATGATACGTACTTAATTACAACATGTTTTGCAAAGAATCAAGTATTCATGGAACAATTTAGTTGTGTTGATCTTGTATTACAGTGTTTTGAAATATGTTCTAGCACATTTGGTTGAATATTTCATTTTATTTTAAGTCATCTGTGTGGCAAAGTAATTAAAAAGTGTTTATGTTTGGAATTGGAATATAACTGAATTGGTGCTTGTAATCTGCAAATAAGTTACTGCTTAATGCTTGGCACATGAAAATATAAGCAAGCAGTGTTGTCAAATATTGACTCTGGCAGTGCTGTATCAGCCGTCGATAACACCAATCTTGAAGTTTTAATAGTTACTAGCATTTGTAAGGTATATAAAATATAAATTGTGTACGGTGAAGTGCAATATTTTGGTTTTTGAAATGAACTCCTCAAAATAATCAGATTTTGCTCTTGTGGTGCTTTAAAATTACAAAAGCCCTATTTTTTTTTTTTTTTGAAGATTTGAAGATTGGAATGCATGATAGTTGGCTAATAGCTAGTAATAAAACTTCTCGTTCACTTCGTCTCTACTCACCGAACACAATATAATTAAAAAGTAATTTTATCAATGAGCCATGTTTATATGGCAGATAATTGGCTGGCCGTAAAGATCCACCATCTGTTATTGATGACAGTGTGTTCGAGAGCATTATTCATCATTTGGTTGTGGACTGGTCACTATTATTATTGATATGAGCATGGATGCTCTAAGCATGTGGAAAGGAGGTATTTTCAGATCTTGTTTAAGAGATCGATAGCATATGTGCCCTTCCTCTCTAGGAAATGACTTGGACTCTTATACTAGAGATAATGGGCATCCTTCAAGCAAACTCTCAAAACTTGATCAATGAGAACTTGGGCTGGATCCGGAGATTTTTACTTCGATATACAGAGCCATCCATGCTCAAATTTGTCACTGCATATTATTGACTAATTTAATTATTTATCTGAACGATGATTCTTCAAGTTTGTTGGTTGCATCATTGATGGTTCCGGTTATTGTTGTTTTATGAGGAACAGGTTGCAAATGAGTTGTCTGGCAAGCAACAAGGAGTAGTTGGTGAAAGTAGTGATCAAACTAACCTATCGGATAGAGTTTGTTTACCTGAACTTGAGAAACTGTTGAAGCAGAAGACTTTCACGAGGTATGTTTGGTATGAAGTGCATGTGGCATAATTGATTTTGGTGTTTGGGTTGCCGGATAAAATGTATTTATTTTTTTGCAGACTGATTTTGAATAATCTTATTTGCATTGATTTCTTGGATTTGTTATTTCTTCTATAAACTTGAAGACAAACACAAATGCAAACACATTGGACATATTTGGTTAGAAGTGAGAAGAGCCAATCTTGATTGTCCAATCTTACGTGAATAATTAAGATTATTTCACTTGATCCCAAATTTCCTATACTATATTATTATTAGGATTTACATCCTCCCATGGAAGACCATGGATGTCCTTTGTTGCATATTGTGATGTCATTTAGTGAATTATAGGCTTTATCAGCGGTTTAAGCAGATAATCATGGGATTTTCAATTTAATCTCTTATGATGATGTACATTTACTTGATTTTTCTAAATTGAATGACATTCAATTTTAGCTGGTTTGTACTGTTTGTGTCAATGAAATAATTTTGGTTTGTTTGTATATTTGTTTGTTTGTTTATTTATATATAAATAAAAGAGAAGGTTTCCATTGGGTTGGTTGCTGCTGATAATTGACATAAAACATTTTTTTGAATCTCAATGAAATTCATTGGTGAACAATAGCGCAATCCTTCTTTTTGATACAATCCGATGCCAATGTTGATCCATGTAGTGGAGTCCATTTGGTGGGTTATGCTTGATGGATATGTAATTCACATTTCCTTTCTAATTTATTGAAGCTTATTTCTTGTTAAATTTGCAATCTGTCTCTTCTATTTTTCATGCCTCTTGTGTGATAGCTTCTTGTTGATTTTTAACATCTAACTGTTTATTTTTCAACAGATCGGAGACTGATCACTTGATAGAGCTTATGCGCTCAAGGTCTGTAGATACGGCTGTTGGGGAAGAAGGGAAGATGACAGAAGTGGTTCCATTAGAATCAATGTTGCATTGTAACCAAAAGGAAGAGCATCCCCAAACTCCTGCACTAGAAAATAGAATTGAAAACCATCTTGTTTCACCCCCACACGCCACTTCCAGTGTATGACAATTTTCTTCATACCTACCTATTTTTTATGGATTTGAAATTAATACCTATCATGATCTATTTGACATCTACAAACATATACTGTGTATAGATTCCTGTGGAAGATGTTGCTTCACCTGCACAACTAGCAAAGGCTTACATGGAGAGTAGGCCTTCCAAGGTATCCCCATCAGTGTTAAGCTTGCGAAGTCCTACCGGGGAGGATTCAACTCTACTAAAAGGCCACTTTGCTCAAAAATCCCCTGTTATGTCAATTGTGCCAAGGGCTACTAACCATGCCAGGGTTTATGAAAATGGTTTTTTGACCCCAAGATCTCGTGGAAGATCAGCAATATATACTATGGCTCAAACACCTTATCCTAAAGTATACCCTGCCTCCACACTCAAGGTTTGCCATTTACTGAAAATATTTTGAATCACGATGTTTCTAAAGTTGAAACTAATATCTTATTTCTCTAACTTTACAGGGTGCTGGGGTTGGTGTTGAGGATGGGCCATCATCTTCAACTCAGCATGCACTTAGTAATGGTATACTCTCTGGAACTACTAAACAAGGGGTATGATTACTGTTGATTATTTAATCTCTCCTTTTATAATATTTAAGAGTTTCTTTAAGGGATATGTAAATGATTTCCCCTTGCAGGGATTAAAACGTAGAAGTTCTGTATTAGGTAATGATATAAGATCTTTTGGTCGTATACGCCGAATCCGTCACAAGTCTAATCTTATATCCTCTAAAGGATTGACCTTGACTCACTCAGACGGCCCTCTATCTATTACTAGTCATGGGGTTGCTAGTAATACTGCTCAGCAACCTTCATCTTTCATTCAGAAGCCTATTTTGTCGGATGAAGTTAATTACAGTCATAGAAAATCGCCACCGGAAAATGTAGGTGACACCATGCCTAGCAGCAACTTTCCTCCTTTACCATCCAAATCTAGTGAGATGGCCTCCAAAATACTGCAGCAACTTGATAATATGGTTTCTCCCAAAGAAAAATCATCAGCACTAAGGCTGCCAAATGTGAATGATAAATCTCCAACAAAGTTGTCATCTTCCATGTTACGAGGACAAGCTCTTCGAAGCATGGAGACAGTAGATTCTTCAAAATTATTGGATAATGTAAAGGATAATAAATTAGACGGCAATCTTAAAAGTTTGTCGGCTAGTTCTCAAAAGTTGGCATCAAAGATAAATAAGGTGGAAAATGGTCTGAAGCCTGTTTCATCGAATGGTGGATTAACTACTGAAGTAACTGGTTCAGTCTCTACTGTCCCAAGTAACCAAGTCATATCTATTGGAAAGTCTGGAGATTCTTCTGACCCTCCTTCAAAAAAGTGGGCGTTCCGTATGAGTGCACATGAGGTAGATTATGCTTAATTGTTATCAAGTTATGGTCTGCTGCAGTTATCTTTAAGTGTTTATATTATGAGTCTTTATGACTACTGTGTGTAGTTTCTTTGCATTCTTGTTTTTAATGAAAATGTGTTTCAAGTTGATGTTTCTTCAAACTAAAAAACCGTACAAAATCTATCACTGCTTTTCTTGGAACTTAAAATTGTAACTTCTGAGCCCTTGACCATGTTTATATTGATTTTTTTACTTCCTTCCATTTTGTTATCTCATAATGATGATTGGAGCAGTTGCCTAGCATAAAGTTGACCATATTTACACCTTTGATTTTTGGTTCCTGATAGTATAAAGTGAGTCGAGGTTTCAACTGAGACATTTTTTATTATCTTAAACCGTAATTATTGACTGTTATTTTTCTTTCCCTCTTTCTCTCAAAGGATTATCTGGAGTTGGATGATGAGGCCTATCCTAATGAAGCTGTGTCTCCTTTTTCTACATCCGAGAAAGAAACAAAAGGCTCTACTGCTGCGGCTATCAAAACAGTCTCTGCTCTTGAAAAACCTGTACAGAAGATACCAGGTTCATCTGTAGTGACGCCGTCCAAAAGTTTTATAGCAGATGGTAAACTTAGTACTGCTGATGTTCCTATAGTAGCTAAGGTTGACACACCGACTTCAATAACTTCATCTATTGCCACTGATCCTACTGTTAAGCCAAGTATGGGTGAAGTTAAATCATCGGCAGTCACTATTTTAGGTTCCGACAAGTCCTCTTCACCAAATGGATCAGCTGCTAATCTTCCCCTGTTTAACTTCGGGAATAATTTTGTTTCTTCAACAGAGTCCACTAAAACAGGTCCAGTATTTGGTTTGGATAAAGCGGATAAAGCGGCTCTATCAAAGGAAACAAGTCCTGATGCTAAATCTGTTAAATTTGGTTTCAACAAAAATATTGACAGTGTTCCACAAGCATCATTTACTTTCTCTCCATCTGCTGGTGGTGAGTCTACTTTTCTCAAATTTGGCGGGGCTTCTGACTCAAAGCTGAGCTCAATCAGGTCAGTGTAATTGTGTTTTGTTCTGCCTGTTCTATTGACATTTTCGTCAGTGAAGAATTTGTCTCTGGACTAATAATCTCATTAGGAACTTAGAAGCATACATTTTCTTTCAAGACTAACCTCTACCTTCATAGTATGAGTACGAGTTTAAACAAATTTATCATGCTGTGTTGTATTATCTCTTCAACTTCGATTTTATCGTGTCTTGTTGAAAATGTGTTTTGAACTTATTTCATGTTTACTTAATACAACCTGCTGATTTCTGGGATGTACTAGTATCATTGGCAAATCATGGTACTTCAATTAAGCAAATACTTTTTATAGTGGGATAATGCTTGATTGTTGTTGTATTCTAAATATTGCAATCACTATTTTGTATGTATCACATTTAGATTCTAAATAAAAACTATTCATGTCATGCATTAGTGACAAACATTTGTCCCGATAATGGTTTGTACAGTCAACTGTAATATTTATTTTATAATAGTTTTCCTGACAAAGTCTCTAACAAATCATCTTCACTTCCGATTAAGGGAATTTTTTTAATCAATACAGATGCAATAATCATTATTTTACACATACGTGCAGGTTCCAGCCAAAAACTTTTCATTTTATATGACAAATATTTGGTACATATAGTTTATACAATAAGTTATAATTAGTTTATTGTTATAACTTTACTCATATATATAAAATTCAGTATACTGATTTGATTGCTTACATTTTTTAAATACTAAATTATAATTTTTTGCGAAACTAAATTATTGGTATTTACACGTCATGTTAAAATATTGGCCTCATATTTTTGAAAATGACTTGAAATCAAAATGAATCGTTAATTACAGATTGGTTGCTGCAGATTTCCCCCCTCCCCTTTACAGTAGTTTTTCTTCATTTTTATGTCTATTCTTACTCTTCGTATTTTGTAGTTATTTCCTATTCACTTTATACAGTCTGGCTTTGATTTTTGTTAAGTGTATCATAATTGTAATTTAATTATACTGGTTTAATCTGATGCGCAGTTCAATTAAAAGAGATATATCTGCATCTGAATATATATTACGTGAAGTGATACAATATTCATTGCACTAACTACACCTTCATTTACAGCTCAATTACTGCTGCCGGTATTGTTGATTCAGTGCCAAAAGTTCTTGAATCAAATAGTGCTGATGTCAAGGCTAGTATGGTTTCCAAAGTCTCTGCTCAATCATCAGAACCATCTGCAGCATCTACGTCATTGTCAACATCACCCGCAAATATATTTACTTTTGGCAACAGTTCAAGTCAAAATAATGGATCTGCTGCTTCAAGCCCTACACTGTCCTCCCCATTTCTACCTGTGGTTTCAAATAGTCTTACAAGTCAGAATATGCTCAGTAGCTCATCGCTTGCCACAAGCAGCAGCAGCATTAATGTGACTGCTACTTCCACCACTAGCATGACAACCAGCACCTCCGTTGTAAATGCGTCCAGCAATAGCAGTTCCTCTACCTCAGTGATGACATCTTTATCTCCAACAACTTCCCTTTTCAAATTTGGATCCACCCCATTACCATCAACAAGTTTACCTGTTTCATCTTCTCGCTCAGAACCCGTGGAAACCAAGGACGGGCAAAATGCTGGAATTGGTAAAATTGAAAGCACCTCCTTTGGAAGCTCTTCTGCTGCTGCTGCAAATGCCGGGAATGGCATTTTTGGGCTTAGTTCATTGGCAACATCTGCAAATAGCCAGTCCCAGACACAGGGTTCTATCTTTGGCACTGTAGGTGGGTCTACCATTGGTACTCTGGCACCTAGTGCTACTAGTGGGTTTGCAACTTCGACTCAGAGTCAGTCTGTGGCATTTGGTTCATCTACACCATCCCCGTTGTTTGGGTTGGCTGGAAGTTCATCGCTCCCTTCTTCAAGTCCTGTAACAAATATTTTTAATTCTGGTTTAAAGGCTGGACAAAGCACCCCCGCGTCTTCTTTGGAAGCCAACCCTGTTAGCTCCAATAATGGCACAAATTCAACCTTGTTTGGGGTTCCTAGTTGGCAGCCCAGCAAATCGTCTCCGTTTGGCACCCCCTTCAGTTCATCATCATCGTCTTCATCTACCTCTGTGTTTTCCTTTGGAACATCCGCTCCATCTGTTGTTTCCACCAGCTCTCCCATGATATTTGGATCATCTACAGGTGCATCAGGTTCTCAATTCTCATTCACTTCAGCTGCAGCCACTACCAATACGCAGCCTGCTTTTGGAAATTCTAGTCCCGTCTTCGCATTTGGTTCAGCTTCTGTTAACAATGATCAGATGAGCATGGAGGACAGTATGGCTGAGGACACAGTTCAAGCAACTCAACCCGCCACTCCTGTATTTGGTCAGCAACCAGCTCAAGCACAATCAAATTTTGTATTTGGAGCACCAACTCCAACTGGAGCTAGCCCTTTCCAGTTTGGGGGTCAACAGAATATTGCTCCACAGAATCCATCTCCATTTCAGGCTTCTGGCAGTCTAGAATTTAATGCGGGAGGGAGTTTCTCATTGGGCACTGGGGGTGTTGATAAGTCTGGTAGAAAGCATATTAAAATTAAACACAGGCAGCGTAAGAAGTAAGACTGTTTATGGAAACAGTTAAGGTGGGTGATTCCCTAATTTTGTTGTTGAGGTTGCACTCTAGACGAGTGCTATTGAAAGCAAATCAACTCGGACATACTTGTAAGTCTCCTTTGTCTTGCTTGCTTCTTATAGAGGAATGCAAGGCGTAACTTTTGCACAATTTTGTAATATTATGATCTGTAGGAACATTAGTTGTTGTACTTGTAATATCAAGATCTGGTCTGTTATGATGTTCACAAGATCCCTGTGTTATCTTTTACTTGTATCATAGTCCGAAATAGGCATGGATTGTATTTTTGTCTTAACTGATGGTCCAATCATTTGCTATTAAGCTGATTACTGATGATTTTTAGCTGGTAGGTCTTTTGTTTTAAAAACCACTGGCCGGTCGGACCAGGAATAAAAATTTCTCATTTTATTTTGTTATAATTTTTATAAAAAAGTTCTTAGAAAAGCACTAAATGAAAAATTAATTAAAAAATTTATTTTTTCTTTGTATATAAATGTATATAAATCAAAATAACACATTTTAAAAGACATTATTTAGATTAGTCTTTTTTTTTTTGATACCAATCAAGAAAATGAAAATAAACTTTAATTTAGATAGGAAATGTTATCGAAGAGGATTTTTTGAAAATATATTGAAAGACTTTTTAACTAAAAGATTCAAAAACTAAAAGATTCAAAAGAATAGTATAAATGTTCAAGTTTGCAAGCTAATTAGCACTCTTAATTCCTTTATGATTTTCACATTCTACTCCGCCTTCAACAATTTTCGAATACGAACGAACTAAAATATGAATTCACCATTATTAAGTTGTAATTTTTTAAAGATCACGTGGATCAAAAGCTTCGAGTAATTTAGAATTTCTTACGTTACTCCATGAGTTTCTTTTCCACCGTTTGCTTTTTCACAAATGTTTTTAAATTGTGAAAACATATTTTCAAAGCAATTTAAATTTTAAATGGTTATAACATATTTTCCATAGCTTATTTTTATTCGAATTTGTTTGAAGATGTATTTATGGAAAAATTTTCAGAGATACATATCCGAAGTGTTTTAGATCAGGTTTATTTATTTATTTATTTTTAAAACGCATTGTGTATTTGTTCGTAGATGAATTATAAAATAATAAGACACACAAAAATAACATAACATTATAGTAATAGGATGTCATACGTCACGTAACATAACATTATAATAATAGAGTGTCATACGTCACGTAAATCTAAAATGTAATAACAATGTCAGGAAAAACGTACAAACTACAATACTGAAACAAAATAAACACAGACAATTACTGGATGTGCCTGACAACCTGCCTCCTGTACCTCCTCTGTCTAGTCTGCCTCCTCGGCCATCGATCCCACCGTCCTCGCGCGATGTCTGCGGTACAAAAGTGTCCCATGTGCCTCCACAATAATGTCATCCAATACTCGTCTGATAGCAGACCCCTCAGAGAAGATATCCTCGTCAATACCTGCCCGTGCTGGGCAACCCGTCCATGCCTCAATCGGTTGGTTCTGTTCAGCCATTATGCCTGCAAGATATAATATAATTAATCATACAATGAATTTATAAAATAAGAAAAATTATAAAACAAAACGAAAAAAAAACAGACTGAGAAATTATGGAGATACATCTCCGAAAATATTCAACGTCTCATGTAATATGCGTGATTCCGGAGATACAACTACGAAAATATTTGGCATATGCATATCTAGAATCATCCAGAGTACATGAAACATTGAATGTTTTCGGAAATGTATCTTCAAAACATTCTGCAATTCAAAGGTCGCGCCAATGGCGTTCTCTGCCCCTCAGAATCACAAATTTGAAGCTCTGATTGTCCGTTTGAGCCAACAAACAATACATGCAGTTACTCTAAACTATGTTTCATCTGATTTCTAAACATTTCGACACCTAACAATAGAATCTAACTCATTTACAACAAAACTCGAATATTTATCGGAAACTAGAAAAACTTATCCGCATTATATGATTTAGAAGATGTTGAATGATGCACTAGATGCAACTTGATTACTTGATCCTCGGACGGAAGAAATCAAATTTGGTGAAGTTTGGAAAATTTGGAAATGAGAGAGATGAATAAGTTTGTGAATAGAAATTAAAAAGTGTGGGAGGAGAAGAGTCTGGCGCGACAATATGCTCCTAATTGTTCCAAAGATATATCTCTAGAATATTTTAACATTTAATTGATATTTGGTGTGTCTGGAGATATATCTCCAGAATATCTTAACGTTTAGTTATAAATAAGGTGCGTTCGGAGATATATCCCCAGAAACTAGAGACATTATAGGAAATCCGCATGGTGTCTAAGAAACATATATGGTGCTTTAAGAAATTCTCATACATATGACATTGCTTTCCACATACGAGAATAGTAAGATTGCACAATAATACTTAAGGATGACAATTTGACCCACCTTAGTGGGTACCCACAAAATTATCCACAACGGGTAGGATAAAATCTCGCAAAAATGGGTACGGGGACAGACTCAGGTAATTATCCACTTAAATAAGCGAGGATGAGCGCGAGTATGAGCACCTTAGTATCCACCCGCCCCATACCCGCACAATATATTTATATATTTTAATTTATATTATCATATAAAAATAAATATTTATAAAATAAAAAAAACATCAATTTTAAACTGCTACATATTTAATATAAGTAATCATTTATTTCATAATTCAACAATATTTTTTTTTTAAACTTAAAATATTATGATATTTTATACTTGATATATTTATTTTTATTAGAAATGCGGGTAACAGGTACAAACACTTATATATCCATAGGGTACGAGGATGATTGTCAATGTTGATATCAAAGCGAATATGAGCTTGGGAACGAGGATTTTTTTCAATAGTGGGTATGGGGATGAGTACTATAGTACCTTACCCAAACCCTACCCATTGCCATCCCTACTAATACTAGCAATAAAATCATTATCACACTAATATTTATTTAAGGAAATTTCTTATTCCACTCTATGAGGTGAAAAAACTCCTTATGAAAAATAAAAAATGTCAATTAGATTGGAAATACATCTCTAGACGCACCATGCACTACTTTTGTGACACACCAAACGAGTGCCACTTCAGAGCGGAACAAAATTTTATTTCGGAAATGCATATTCGGTAGTTTCAACAAATAAATAGATACTTGAGCAGTCCAGTGGAGTTTCTGGAGATGCATCTATGGAAGTTTGTGGGAGGATTTTGAAATTTCGGTCACCTCTGCTTGTTAGATATTTTCAGAGATGCATCTCCTAAATAAGTTGATAAAACACTCACCTGCATGATCACACAACCATACTTGTTTTCTACTCCAAACCCTTATCAAAACCCTTCCATTCTTAATCCATATTTTCACTATAAATCTTCAATCTTGTGTTTCATCACATCAAAGAGAGTAAAAGAAGTTTGAATTCCAAGTAAAAATCTTTATTTCGCGCCTCATTGCTCATATTAATCTTGTTTTAAGTCTGTAAAACGTGCGTTTAATCCGGAGATACATCTCTGAAACCTGTATGACCTCTTCTAGAAATGCATCTATAGTATCTATATGTTATCATTTTTCAGCTATGGTGCACCCCGATGTTTTACTGTAACTTCTTCCATTAGATATGGTGCACCCCGATGCTTTCTATAAACACGTGCCTCCAGATGCCAAATGTATTGTTGTGAAGACGGTAGATATTGACAACCAATTTAAAAATGAGTAAGAGTTTGAAATTTGTGATCACATGCTTCAATGGATTCATACAGGCCTCTGTCATACCTTAAATTTTGATCATAAGACTTCAAACCATTTTGCAAATCATAACCATAATATGAATGTATTTTCATACCTCACCAATCTTCTCAAAGATTATTGAGTATTCACCTTAACCAATGATTAAGGTTTTGAGCCCTCTCAGAGCATTCAAGCAAGGGATCAATCAAGAATTTACATGATCTTCAACTTTTCAAGCCTCTCAAACATTCATGAAGGATCAAGAGATCCTCCCCATCAAGAATTTAACACAAGATTGCACCATTCCGAGTTAATCAAGCCTCAAGACCATCAGTGTCACCAAATTAGGATTTTAATCGACCAAGACTTTCAAAGAGAAATTTTCATCTGGGAATGAGCCAATAATTTAATACGTGACTCAAGAAGATCAAAAGAACCTCATGAGTCCATTCATAAGTTCAAAATAACCGCAGGGGTTTGCATCTATAAAAAAATAAGAATTAGGGTTTTAACCTAATTCAACCCATAGGTTGACTTTTGAAGTAAAGCATGATCCAAGACCTCAAGATATGTTTCAAGGACCTAAAATACATCATATTTATATATTCACAAGATTTTATTGATTCAAATAACTTGATTCATAAGCAATACAAGGATTCAAATTCATCTGGACCACAAACTAGGGTTCCTGAGAAAGTCAACCATATCTTTGACTTTTGACCAAAACATGATCTCAACTCTTAGGAAATGATTCAAGACCCTCAAAAAAACCTTTGGAATCGATCCATTAGGTTCAATTTAGGCCAAGGACTTGATTTCATAAAGGATCACAAAATTCAAGTTTCATCTAATGTAAAAAGTCAACTGTGATAAAAGCCAAGTTTGACTTTTGGGATTTTTTGGCAAACATGACCTATTTAAGTCAATAAAAATGTTAAATTATGATTTGGATCATGATCAATCAAGAAAAATCAAGAAAAGTGAGGTTACTTGCAAAAAGGGCAACCTTGAGAAACTTGAAATTTCACTAAGTTATGGAAGGAACTTGATTTTTATCCAACTTTGAAAGGCCATAACTTGTGATCCAAGCAACCATTTTCTCCCATTCAAATCTGAAATGATAGATCTTCTTACATACAACAAGGTTTCAAAGCAGAAGTACCCCAAAAAATGCCTAGATTTTGAGATATGAAGCATTAAAGTTAGGGTTTCATGAGATTTTGAACTTTAACA